AAGTGTCGGAGGCCGAGGCCCTGTGACGCGCGTCACCCCTCCCAGCAGCCTGGACTGCTGCCTCCCAAAATGCAAATTCTGCGGGAAATCACACCCGCCCGCCCAGGTGGTGGCAGCTGAGAGGGAACCGCAGGGCCAGACCCCGCCTGGGACCATGCCCAGAGCAGGCATGCGGGGACGTTAGCAGGCAGCATGCAGACCAGGGAGCTGGGGCAGGACCAGCGCAGACTCACTCGATCAGGACCCGGGCCACCCCCAGCTGCTCCAGCGCGGAGAGGAACCTCTCCTCCTCTTCCTCCTCCTCCTCCAGGGAGCCCCCCGTGCCTGGCCCCTCGGACCAGCCCGACTCAAAGGTTTCCTCAAGAGCCCCCGAGGGCTGTGTGCCCTGGACCGACTCTGCCCCCACAAACTTCCCTGTGGGCATGGGAAAGAGAGTACCGGACTGTGGGTTACCACCCTGGCCCAGCCGCCACTGCCCCCCAGCCCCCCCACCCCCGCCCTACACACACACACAAACATATCCTGCCCTGTCCATGAGCCCAGTTTCCTGTTTTTCTTCCTTATTCTGGGCTGATTCTTAGCCTGGGAATGGGAGGTGGCGGCCGAACTCAGGCCAGAATGGACAGCTGGCTCCCAGCCCACCTGGATTTGGCACAGCGGCGAGGTGGGGTGCAGGAGAGACAGTGGCACCCAGGCCTCAGCAGCAGGGCGGGGGGGGGCAAGGGGGCTTTCTGTGGGGCCTTCCAGCACTGCCTGTGTGTGCAGACACTGGACAGGCACAAGTGGGCCCCCAGGGCCCCCACATGCACCAGGGGAGGGTCCCTGGGTGGGGGTCAGGGTGGGGTCAGGAAAGGCTCACCCAGGCCGAGGCAGAACTCCCGGGCAGTGAGGAAGCCCGTGCGGGCCTGGTCCAGGCTCTCGAACACGGCCTCGAGCTGCTCGGGCGTGAGGAGCAGGTCGCTCTGCAGGCCCTGGCGACAGACACAGGGCTGAGCGGCCAGGCCAGCCCCACGGGGCCACCCGGGCTCAGAACCTCCCGGTCTCCCCCGCAGGGCGCCTCGCCCTGGATCCCCTAACCGGAGCCACCTTCTTCCCCCGACGCCCCGTCCGGGTTTTCCGGCGCCAACCCCAGGTCTGACGTCCTTCCCCAGCCCAGAGCTGGCGGACAGACACAGGCTGAGCGGGCAGGCCAGCCCCACGGGGCCACCCCTCGGGACGGGGGACTCACCTGCAAGTCGTGCCGGGTGATGAAGCCCTTGGCCTCCTTGTCACACAGCAGGAACAGCTCCTGGGCCTGCGCCAGCATGGCGGCCCAGGGCCCCGCGGAGCCTCCCTCCTGCTCCCCCTCCTCCTCCTGGGCCTCCCCAGGGCTGGCCATGAAAGGGGGGTCTTGGCCGTCGGGTGCTGTAAAGCCAAAGAGTCGGGGGCTG